TCTTTCACAAGAAATGTATAAAATTAGTGCTGTATTAGACTTACGGTACCTAATTTACATACTGTGCAGACGATAATAAACTCAACTTACTAGCCTAAAATCTCCGTAGCGTGTTGCCAGGCGGCAGAAAGCATATATATAATTATAATAAAGTTACAATAAATTAAGTTAATATATAATTATATATACAGTACCTAATTTATATATAATTAATATATAATTATATGTACAGTACCTAATTTATATATAATACTAAACAGACGATAGCAAACTCAATTTAGCCGCTCCGTAGCGTGGCGCAGGGTCGGAGGTAAGTAGTTCGGCTGCTCATCCACTATTGGTCCAGACTCTATCAATCTTGTCGCGAAACGACGTTATAGGAGGTACTTTATACGAAAGTTTCTACAATTTTTTCGCTACGTTATAGGAATTGTTGTTATAGGAACGTACGTTATAGGGGGTCGACTGTATATACATACATACACTAGCAGATGAACCTGGCATTACTTGGGCAAAAATAACAACAGTAAAGATTAAGATTATTTCATACTTCTAACCCTTCTACTATATTATATTATATTAGATTTATATTTACAATTGTTATTATGTAAAAGTTTATCACACCAACTGCCCAATCTAACACATTTTAAAAATTCTCCAAATTATGTACAGTAGAGGAATAAAGAATTTTTAAAATGTGTTAGATTGATCATTCAGTGTGATAAACCCTTATGTAAGTAAACCTCTATAGTTATATAGCTGATCTTACCTGTTCATTTGGTGCAAGAATTAGGTCCCCCTCTTCCGAAGCTGATTAGAGAATTTTTAGATGGGTCTAAAAATATGTTTGATTTCCCGCAAAAATGCAAAAAACTGCATATAAAATAGTACAGTAGAAGCCAAGTTATTTAGGGTAGTCCTTAACCTTCTCCCTTTTCCCCATGGGGAAATTTCCAAAAATCCCTTCTTAGTGTGCATTCTCATGACATCCCTTAACTGTGTATCAAATTTCAACTTTCAACTCCTAACCATTTGGGCTCTGCATTTATTATAATCAAGCTTCCTCAATTATATATATATATAGCTATACTAAACAAAAAAACAATTTACCAAAGAATTAATTTGTTTTTGATGCTTCTTGCATAAAATATATTTATTGACTCATATCTACTGTACAGGTTACAAGCACTGCAGTAAGTTGTATCTTGTTTTGTTATATAATAACTAAATTGCACTAACTAAACAACTGCAATTGCACTGGAGTATACATATATATTATAGATATCTGTGTTATAATACCTTTAGTTAACTATTAATTGGTTGGGTGCCATGCACCCCAACACCCATTTACAAAAGGCAAATTTGATCTTGAGTCCTCTGCATGGTTTCAACATTCGTTTTTTGATAATGTTTAGCTCCTTTCAGTCTTTTATCTACATGCACACAAAAGTGGTCTTGGATGATCTACAACTGGTTTAAACCATGCGTTATCTTACATAAAACCCAAGATAGAATTTTCTCCCATGCAAATAGTGTGTAGGGATGCATGGTGTGAGGGCCGAACTAACCCTCAGTAAAGTGTTATTTTCAATTTTATTTATTGGAACTTTAATCAAGTAAAATCGAACGTTAGGCTAAAAGCCATAAAACTTATTTCCCACGGAGTTTGTTCCTTGTTGAATCAGATCAAGTTAGTCAGGGATGTGTCACCAGGAACTTTTGATGGAGAAGACATATTGGACGTGCGACCGTTAATAGCCATCATCTGACCTCAGGGAAAAACCCCAAGAGGAATGAAAGAGAAAAAAAAAAAAAAGATCCCGAGGTCAGTCGTCCTCCAAAGTTCGTCCGCTCAAGAATTTATACCGTGCAAAATATCGTGCATCCGCCGACCTTATCATAAGTATATCTTACCCACCTAAGTGCCTCAACACCAGTCGGATACCTCCCTCCGAAGTTGCTCCTGTTACCTGAACACTCTAAATATCAAGAACATTCCATCCAACACCCCAAGAATCCTGACGGAGAATCATCCAGTCCTCAATCCTCGACTTCTCTATAAGGTATTTATCCACACGCGAATATCCTGTAACTCTCTCTCTCTCGCGACAGTTAGATTCGATAATCTAGGGATATAGAATATGGATATATATATATCAATCCAAGATGTCTATGATCGTATATCATGTACTCCTGCTCGTTAAAATAAATTTGTTATTGTTTATTAATCTGGAATCGAGTGAATCACTTCCTCGTTTCTCTCTCCTCACCTCTACTCCGAATCCAAGCGCTCACACGCTACCGCTCGCGAAGCTTTAGACTTAACGTCGCGAGTTCCGAGTCCCCTAGAGGCTCGGTGGTGTCATCCTGACAGGGCGCCAAAGAGGTGCCGACCCCTCGGTCACACATGGCATCCAAACCAACAGCCCACTATGTTACCTATACTCCTGTGCAATTACATTCAGTTATTATATAATAGACACAACATACAGCTGGTACAATATTTCTGTCTAAATCTTGTATATTATTCTTGCAGTTGAATTGATCTTTTGTTAGAAAATTGGTTTCATATAATTTTAAATAGCAATTTATAATTAAAAATTAGTCATGCTACAAAATAATGTAATTAACCATTTATTTAAATAAGTCTCATTCATAAAATTTTTAGTGATGCAACTACATAAATACAAACAAATTTTATGTAAAAATGGATTAACGTGCATTAACTTGACCTTCAGGTCCTGATGCACCAGATATTAGAAGGAAAATCAGAAGTGGTACTATATACATCCACTAGAAATAAAAAAGAAATATTATTATATATAATTAATTATGTCCTCAAATATAAAATTACAATTTTATACTTACATATTTTGCTAAAAAGGATCTATTATCTCCTTGTTCTCCTCGAGCTTTCTCTGCCTTCTCTTGTTCTAATCGTTGTATGTAAGTTTGAGTGTCAGGCCTTAGAAAGATATTTTTAGTTTTATTATTCAATTAGCATTATTCTGTTAAAATTAATAAATATTTGACTTACGCAGGACCATTCATAGGAGATATGATGGTAACAGTTGTGTTGAAAGTGGAAAGACGGGAATCTGGCAGAGATATGTCTTTACATTGAGATGTTTTGCCTGTAATTGCAACTCCCAACAAATTTCCAGCTTGGTCAATTGTTAAGGTAATACTATCCGAAAGATTGGATTCATATAGAGAACACTAGTTATTATTTAAAAAGTATGATTATTAATAACTAACCATTAATCAATATATCAATATTGTATAAAAATTACAACAGTCATTCATAATCACTTGTTTTCTATATTAAAATAACATGCAATTTCATTACTTTTGGAAAATTCTATTTACGTAAATACTCTGAAATAGAACGTAAAATATCGGCAAACTCACGAAAGTAGTCAAAAACAAACTACTGTAATTTTATTGGTTTATTACAGGGCCACGTGTTTCCGAGTTGCAACGTCAACGAACAATGTGTGACCACGAGAAGACGCGCGCGACTCGCGCTTGTTGCAGTTGCAGTCGCCTGCGCGGCTAGAAATCGCATAGTGTGACCAGGGCTTTAC